TACCCTGAAATTGAAAAAATCTAGGAAGGCGCCTCAACTTTTCTTTCAATATACAGATTGCTAAATTTAATTTCTTTTCCTGTAGATTCTATTTCTGATAGCTAAAGACGCTTGACGCTTTCCTCGGGGAATTTCTCTTTCAGCTCGCGCGTTAAGTGTCGCACGAAGTGTCCGTATACAATCTTCTGAAAGATGGTAGATACAATATTTTTGTTGTACGGAAATTTTGCTCATATTTATTCCAATTTAAAAAAAAAAACAGTTCCTCACGATACGATACTGCATATCACTACATGTGATACACCTCGTATTCAGGAGATGTTAATTTTTTTTAGTTTCGGCGTTAACTCTAAAAGCACCTTCTAAAAACATTATAAACATCATTGCTTCACACGAATCATTCCCCAAATTACACGTGTTTCCGATAATAATCAAGACACTACCATTTGAAACGTGTTCAGTATGTAAAACCAATATGTAACTTAATGTTCTTGTCCGTCCACGCCGCGTGACGCAAACACGAACATTCTTGTAGCGACGTCTCGTCATCTGACTAGTCAAGTCGCCGCCCCTCAGCCAGACGCAAAAATCCAGTCTCTAGTTTCCTGTCTCGTCGTGCACAATGACCTGATGAGCGCAGGCCTCTGACGACGTTATGTTGACGAAGCTTAAATAATATAGCGCACAATTTTCACCAGGAATGACTGGGGTCTTGATTGCGTTGCTGGCAAATCTCGTCCTGATCGTCGCCGTCGAGTCGCATAACGACAATAGTGTTGTAAGCGCGTTCATAACATTATTTCTAAGGTAAATAAATTCCAAAAATTATTGCCAAATGAACAACTACTACTGAACAACCTGTATGCTTGAATTTTCAGTTGTCAAATCGTTTTATTCGTAATTTTTTTAGTTGCATTGAGATTTTTGATTTTAGAATTCAAATGTGATATTTTCGATAAATTATCAATCAAATAAAATGTGTTGCGTAATGCTTTTCGTTCATAACTTTCCAACAAAAATTGTCGTTCTGTCTTAATTGAACAGACTGATATACTTTTAAAACTCACGCAATTAAGTATGATGGTTTGATTTTTAGGCCAATAAAACATGCGTGCGCGTTTAACCTGAAAACCACCCAACGTTGATTTGAAGGCCATTTTTATTATTAATGCTCGTTAGATCCTCATTCCGGGCATTGTGTGCATGCACGCTTAAGGAGGCGCATCCTAGCACGTCCGTAAATCACGTTAAGTTGCGCATGCTGAAGCGTTTGTCAGCACTGAGGCCGAGGCACATTAGTTTCTTTTAACGGCCCGCAGAGCATTACTGAAATGCTCCCTAAACAATGACGCCATTACCAACAAGGCAGCAAACTCCGCTCATTGTGGCTGCCTCCGCCTTTTACATTTCAAAGTTAGGTGATCGGCAGCTTACTTGGAACATCATTTGTTTCGATGCAATGGAAACATAGGATGCGCATGAAATACATTTCGATATATTGCAGTCGACAGGACTGCTTGTAACGACGAGAAAGTGTAACACGGAGGATACAATAAATTGCGAACAAAAATTTCTTGTGCTTCCGGTTTCTGTGAAATAAGACATTTGCCTTACAATAACTGGAGAAACTTCGGAATTTGATAAAGATTCGTTGAAATGGATGGAGTAAAGTTCAGCCGGGATCGGTAGAAGTACATGGTATACATTTGGCCACAAATATATTCTAAAACAACCCATGACAAAGTATTTATTATTCTATTGTTTTTTTCTTATCTTGTGGCCAAGCGATTATTGTCCAGACGATTTTTTTAATATGCGAATCAACTGAGCAAATGTAGTAAAACTCAAAAGTCATTCTCCTGATTGTTCTAAATGCCTTTTGTTTGTTGCAGTTTTTGAACTAATGTTTTGTGGGATTAGTCGAGCGTTTTCTTGACGACGCAACATATCTGCTGGTGTTGCTTGAGCTGAAGCCTCATTACTCGGCGCGATGAAGGTGGCCTCGCAGCGTCCGCAATTTGCTCGGCTCCTCTTGGCGCCGCCGTCCAAACAATTCCTGGCAGGACGAGACGCACTCGAGCTTGAAATGATTGCATTGGATTTTGTTTGTGTGTTGGAGGTGCGCGATGGGCGTCCGTGATTGCTATTGAGACGTTTTATCTCATCCAGATGAGCTGCCATTACCTTTAAACGTTTATTTTTACGGCTGCTTTGTTTTTCTCTATGGGATTGGGATCTGGATGATTCAAAATTATGGGAGCCTTCTGAGCGCTGTTTTATTTTATTACATTTTACAATAAATTTCAGAAGATTTTAGCCACTTTTCGCCCATAGCCCATTCTGTGACTTACTTACGACACATGTAACCGAATTATCAATGTTTCAAGAACATTTTTTTTACTCCATCAAGAATTTGATCTCATGAGATTGTCGATTAGTATTTGAAACTTTTTACAGATCAATTTTTTCGTGGTCGATTCATGTTTATTATTATTTTAAAAAGAACTCATTCAGGTCCAAACATTTTCCGGAAAATACATACATTAAATCACATATCAATTGGGTATATTTTTACGCTGCTGCCATGAGCAATTTCTACTACAGAAGCAAACCTCGTGCTACAGAAAACAATTTTTTCAGGCAAAGGAGCACGGCCCTCCATACGTCCGGCTCAGCGATTACGCTGAATTCCTGCAGCCTCGGAGTACTTGGAGTTTTTGGTAATGGCCAAACTAATCAGTTTTTCCGGCCTGGGTTTGGGTGGCGGAGGCGTCTTGTAATTCTTATGAAAACGTCTTCGTGCATTACTAGAAAGAACTGTTGTTTCTTGAAGCTGTTTCTGTCGTCTTGTACGTGGGAAATGTTCTATTCTTAGGAAATGTTTTAATGTTGTTCTATTTGGTTAGCTAGAAAAAGCACTTTTGAAAACATTTGCTCGTGCGGTCGTGCCGTTGAAGTAACCAAAATATTAACGAATTCACTTTCGTAATCATTACAAATTAAATCTTAAAAGCCCATATATCAAAACATATTTTTGGTTGTGCAGCATTTACATGAACATGGAAATTCGCAGCTTATGCTTGTGTATGGTCTTGTCCGATTCCGATGCGAGTCGTTTGTCCAAATAACTTGATAGGTTTTGTTATTGCGGAAGCAATTGGCTCCTAGGACCAGATTGGCGTCCTCGGCTGCCTCAATATCGCGCCGTGTAGCCAAGTCTGAACACCCATGCAAATCAGCGGCATGGCTGGCATGCAGACCGCTATACAAAGGCTTTAGTTGTCGGCTGCTGATTGTGATGACCAAAGCGACTTACTACTCGGCTGACAATTCAATGAATCCCGTCACGGCTGATTGCGCAGACCAAACCACTGACATCTTTTGATCATTCTTGTCATCATAACGAGGATGGTGTGTGAACTGACAAAACAATAGTTCCACAAATGGTTGATTGTTCTGAGCTTTCTAAATTTTAGAGTGATATTTCAATCAGAGATAATATGAACTATTGTCCCCATAATATCTATATTTTGACCATAATATCTCTGAACTATTTCAATCAGAGATATTATGGGCTGAGTTCGTGATAGACTACGAGACTCTAGACTTGCTCAAATCGATGACCTAACAACGAAGCTTTGAGCCGCTGCAGTCTCGCCGACGGTATTGCCTTCGTCTAACCCGTCTATGTGACGGTATTGTCTGTCTATTCAGACGCGTGTGACAGCATTGTCAATGTAACCCGTCACATCAATCGCCCTTATCTGCTCTTCGGCATCTGTAGGTAGGCTTCTCAAGAGCACAATCCTGGTCTCAGAGAAATGCTGCAGACGCCGTAAGTAACGCACACAAAGTCCTGCCAATCCATCGCCTCACGTGGAGCAGCAACGCCACGTCAAGGCTGATCTGCAGATAACCTGCGCCTTCGACGAATCCAAGACTTAGGGCCTGATCGCTGTGAAAATCTTTCCATTCTGAGAGATATAATCATGGTGGAGTTATTTCTATTATTCATCTACTAATTTCGTCGGAATAATATCACATTAAAACAAAACTTTAAGACTCATCGAATGACAAGTCTCGTCAAATTTCAAGAATCAGATTTAATTTTAACATGCATTGAAATTAAATTCTCTACTTCTTTGTTGGATGTCATTATTATTCGAAACATGTTGATGTCGGGGTAGCATGATATTTAAGTTTGTCGCTTAATGCATGCGATGTGCCCCTTTAATAGAGCAATTTTAGGACCCGCCTGCGCTGGTAGATGCACCGAGCCTCGACGTCCCTGATTCCACCAGACAAAGTTCAGAGGGAAGCGGCGTGGCGCGCGCCGACCCTTGCATACTTCACGCCGCCCCAACTGTAGAGGGAATTACTCCAAACTACATGAGCTTTCAAACTATTTCGCCTTTATCGGGGACGCTTTTTCATCGTTTTCCGTTTTGCTGTAAATTTATTATACACGTAATCCTGGCTCTCTTGCATCTATGAGTCATTTTAATTATTTGTTCGGGAGACTTTCTAACATAATATATTATTTCACTATTAGGCTACACTTGCTATATTTAAAATGTTGAATATTGACTGGAGTTAGCAAGTAGCTGCATTCAAACTTGAGTTATATGTACATATATATAACTCGGGTATAACTTGAGTATATAACTCAACTCATATATGCTTTTTTAATGTTATAACTATAGCATTGACGTGAGAAAAAATAGTCGAAAAATCAGAACAGGATGAACATCTTAAAATCATGTTAAGAGATTCATATCCACGAAAGTTGCTCCTAAAAGTATCCTGCTCTATTTTATTGGCGTATTTGCTCATCCACACATAATTGTGTATTTCTTATAGCACCTAATCTTTCCAGTAACCTCAGTCCTGTCGCCTGCAGACTGAACTTCAAAGAGCCTCTATAGCGTTACCGAAGCCTCGGTCAAGTCTGCGGAGGCCCCTGCCTCTGTGGCTGCTGCGACGCACGGCAGGCTGACAGCATGGCTCTCAATGTGGTCATCCCGCTGCTCATCCCGCTCGAGGAGAACATCCACAACGGTGAGAACATCGATCTACACTTTACATAGTAGATAGATGTTATTGTGACAAATGCTATAATATCTCTGCTCATACTGCTCGAGAAAGTCCTAAACGGAGAAACATCTACACTTAATACGGTCTATAAATGTTAAAATCGTAAATGTGATCGTCCCATTGGGCATTTGCTTGAACTAAACATCCTCGACGGCGATAACATCCACGTACCGCTTTCATTGCATTTATTATTACCCTAACCCTCCTCATCAACTACTTTAAGATAGTCCATATTAAACCTGTTATGCACATGTTAGTGCCTTGGCATGTTGCCATCCACGTACGACGCGCCATGCATTTTTACTGTCATGAATGTCGTCGTGAACGACGTCGGGAACGACTTGCGATACGCACCTGGTGGTCTCATAATAGCGTATCGCCGTCATTTGATTTCTGCGTGATGTAGAGTCATGAGATTAATTTTTGATGTTTCGATATGCAGCCAAAAATTTTACTGCAAATATAAAAAGTAACGACGCTGCATTTTAATGGCTCACCTGTTTGTTAGCAAATATTCTAAATTAAACAAATGTCAGTTCATCTTTGAATGTTGCGGCTTTTCCATTGAATTTCCTCACCAAATTTTCACAACAGGCTTCGGTACATCATTGGATATTTAGTAGATTTTCTCTACAGCTCTGTTAACTACAGCGTTTTGATATCGAGCTATGAGTTGGATGAGTCCATTGCTACATCCCCAGTTTTGGTTCTCTCGCCAGTACAAAAAGTTTGAGTTCGATCTATTTTGATTATTCTAACAATTACACTAATTCCTCTTTCTCAGGTAATGCTCTTCCAAGTTTCCCATGTGTTCTTCGTAAATGTAAGGCAAAAGACTCTAGGTAATTTATTTAATTAATTAAATTTATCATCACGAAACACGCAAGCCAGTTTATCTATTTATTACGGAAGACGCAATATTAAATTGTGTCTATTTATTTTTCCACCTGGTGACTGATGATCTTTCGAAAATAACTGGATTAAGTGTTTCTAAATCTGGTTTTTAGGTAGCATACTTGATTATAAATCCTTTGATTGTTCAGCTTACATGTTGACTGTGGCGCTTAGCTGCGCAAGTCCACTCATGACGTCCATAACTATAATGAGACGTAATAGTTAATGTTTTAACATACCCGAGTAAAACCTCCGAGAATACAATTGAACATTAAGGCTAATCTATATAATCCCAATCTTCTGAACACTTTCAATAAATTGTGTATCATAGTATATATAAGTTTTGTAAACGCAGTTAAAACTTTAACTCAATATGCATGTATGTTGCAATTATACTAAGTTAGGCAGGAGAACCTGCGAATTTTGGGCAGGAACTGTGCGGGTCCCGGAGGAGACTCATAGGCTAGGTTGTATTCTACAGGTTAGGCTCATACAATTCATTTATCAATGATGAGTTTGACCAGTGAACATAATGGGTTTGTTCTTTAAGCTATGCGGCGCGGTAAGCGCCGCAACAATTATTGCAGCAATTATTGCAGCAGGGTGCATTCCTTCGAGGAATGCACCTGTAACAGTACGTGTTATGATTTTGTCATGTATTTATTTTAGTTTGGTCTATATATCTGAAGCGATTACACCCATATTGAAACTAAAATCACTTGACAGACCTTACGGTTAGTACGTTAGAAAAATTGAAAGCATGGAAGAGAGTTGCAATTCAGTATTCACTAATGCAACCTGTTCGCAAGCATGACATGGTGCTAGGGATGTCAGATCTAAGCCTAAGTAAAATTCTGCATGCCAGTTCAAAACTGCATCTTTAGTTTACAAAATTGATGTTGGCTCAGGAATTAAGTAATCGAGAGCCTGTCCTGATTTCCGCCGTGCTGCTTGAGATGAACTAACTTCCGGGAACGTTTATAGAACCTTATTGCTAAAGATGCCGGCCTTCCTTTTTCGATTCTTTCATGCTTTTATACCCTAACAAAATTCGAGGCAGCTCAATGTCCCAATCACATAACTGCATTATACGCTACACAATTGTCTCACTTATGCATCGTTGCTGTCTTTGCACGAGGTCTATGGTTTAGAATACTACATTTTTATAGAATATAGATCTATACCTACACCCAATATTATGAAACATCAATATTCAGATACAAGCGATTCCAGTTTGAAAACGTTGAGTCTCCATCTTGAATTTTATTTTTCTTCTCAAGTTTGTTCTTATCCTTGCATAAAAGGGAACCAAGCCATCCGAACGCAATCTAGACGATCAGGCTACCCAATTTTTACCGCTAAGTTTATCTCTCCTCGCATTATAAAGAAAACTTTTAGCCCCTGCGTTCAATAAGCCACTCCACAAAGTTCGGTGCTTCAACGACGTTGATATTTTTGCAAGTTTCTTTTTTGCAAGAGGCCTTTTGCTAAGTTGTAATAAATTATCCTTTGATGTTGCTATCACAGGATAAAAATTTCACTGAATGTCTTCGTTGCCAGCGCTTATGAGTCGTCTGGTAATTTAAGTCAAGATACGATTCCCGTCACATGCTGTGACTCATGCTTGTACCGTGCAGTTGAATGACCAGGAAATATTTTGTCATCCAGCACCGCAAATACCGCGTGCATTCTTGCAATATAAAAAATGAACATACATGCATTGGAAATCGTACAATAATAACGTCGATATTATGTGCGCACGAAAAAAATAATAATGAATTGTGAACGGCGAAGAAAATTGACCTTTTATTTCAAAGACGACTGGTCCAAATCTTGAGAAAGCAGGCGCATTCTCAGAATATTGAGGATAGAACAAAGTCCCACAAATTAACGCTTGGTAGCGGTTTCGTAACAGGTTATCGATGTTATACCGACGAATAAACCCGGCCCAACATGACTGTAGAAGCAAGAAGTACCCTTTAAATTTTACAATTCTGCATTACAGCAATAATATTCCAATGTCGCATTAAGTTTCAATAAATACATTCACAGAAGCCAATTTAACACACTATGACAAACTGAAGGCTCTGTATATCGAAAATTGTGTCGCACCAGAAAGTCCTCAAAAAATCGAAGGTTGTTTCCCACCAGATCCGCAGTTATTCTATCGAATAAAAGAAACAAATAGCTGTAAGATAATTGATAACCAAAATTAAAGCTCTAAGAGCATAAATGTAAGACGCACTGTGTCAATATATTAACAGCCTCGGACCAACCTTGAAATCTTTAGCCACCAAGCGGTTAAGCTGTAACTCTATGAGGCAAGTAAAGAGGCTATGTAAAGAGAAATAACGAAAGTAGAAGAAAGAGAGGGCATACTCCTGAATTGACAAGTAAGTTTAGCTTAGGAAAGCACCGAGCTTTCCCAATAGGTTAGGAACAAATATTAAAGTTATTAGAGTAACAAGCCGAAGCTCAAAGTTAAGGTGGTCGAGCCACAAGAAAAGGCCAAGCCCAAATTTAGCACTGGAGTCCGCCCTTTCCTAATCAAAGAAAGCGCAAACATGCATTATCAACGTAAATAAATGAAACGAAAAACAAAGAGTAATCACTCAAAATAATAAATAGCAATTAAGAAGGAATGGCTTTATACACTCTTAACGGAGCAACATTAATGGGATTTTCTCACCACTAAGTCTTACTGCCAACTCTTTCTATTTACAAATTCATACCAACAATAGGTATGAAGAAAAAGAAACTTAGAACCTAAGGAATGGGGAAATTTCTAACATACTAAAACCATGCATCAACGCCACCTACCGTGTCGGCCACCACGCTCATCGCAAGTCAATTTATTTGGACTGTCGCGATATGAAAATCTTCCTTTCATTTAAAAAATCGCATTTACTCCTAACTGGAAACTTTCAAATTACAATAAAAAATTAAAATTGGCTGCCCATGTGGAAATGAGATTGTGAATTTAAAATTAACATTTCGCTTGAGTTGAAACTTTGATCGTTGACTCTCGATTCCGGTCTTTGTCATAGAGTTTTATGGAATAAGACACACAAACTTATTTAATATTCACGAAAATCGGTGCTTCAGTTTTTTGTGCTTTTTATCGTGCCAATTCTTTTTGTTTATGTTTCAGCGCAAACGTATCTGAATGCTAGTGACGAAAATCTGATGTAAATCTGAAATCAGTTCCTGCCATTCCACTGACGAGTCTATATAGTCTTATCCTTCACTTGCGCTTTTGGTTGTCATAAGATAGACAACGCGGTAAGAAACTCCCACAATTCTGGCTTTTCTTACATAGACACAGCATATGCGCTCCTGAAAATACTTCCAATCTCACGCTAATGAGGGATCCTGAGATCTGGGATTACGTTTTTGTTCCTCTCACATGGTCGTTGTAAAAAAAGCAGTTTTCATTGCAGTGGGAGTAAAAATGTGAAAAACTCTGTGTGTGTTATGGGAAAATGAAAGTTTTGAGGCTTTGAGATAGGGTAGACTCCCATGGTTGTTATATGAAATGGGTTAACTTTTCCATAAGTAGCACGCTCGGGGAAACTTTCTCCCTTTCTAAATTTTTCAGAAGTTGGCAACGTGAGGTGAATGTGGAAGGGATCGGGCAACGGAAATGCTTTGAAATGTTTAGGGGTTCGTCCAATAAACGAAATTTCTCTCTCATCATACAGGGGATTTAGAGATTTAACTCAAATAATATGCACGCAACGTAATGAAATCCCAACACGAACTTCATGAATAATTTCCTCTGTTAACGCAGAAACTCCCTTGTATAATTAAAAGGAACAATATGACCGCGTATTGCTCTTGTAATATTCAAGCTCACTGTCGGCCGGATGATGGATGCGCAGCAAGATTATTTATATGTTGAGATTATGAGTCATTTGCTGCCGTGTCGTGCCTTGAAGATTTGCCGCCTCCTAGACACCTGAGTCTCGGAGCTCGCTTCATTTCTACAAACGATGTACAAAACAAAACATGTTCTTTTATGCATAATTAATTTTCTGAATTTGCGGATTAGGAGCAAATGTCCATGTAAA